AGATGGGCGCCGGAGGTACGTACCAATCATCTTCTGCCACTCGCAAGACGTGCGGTTGTCCCTGGACGGAGGTAAGCACTGCATGGTAGGCGCACGAGGAAAGTCAATGCGCACCTGCCGATGAGGAAGTCAGACTGGAGACGGAACTCGCCAGGAATGGGCGAGAGGGCTTCGCCATCATGGAGGGTGCTTCCGGGAGTGACGGTACCGTTGAGCATAGACTCCACGAAGAACTGAGCGTCGAAGTCCGAGGGCGTGGAGTCGAACGGTGCGCCGGGGATAGACTGCGTGAAATCAGGCATGTCAGCGTTAGTTCAGCTTGATCATCCAAATCAGCTTCCACTGCGGGCTCCCATCTTCGCAGGATGCGAAGTCGATTGGAGAGGGGGATAGCGAGGACAGATAGACAGCATCGAAACTTACGTCGTCAACCTTGTCCTGGGCGGCAACAGTGTGCGAGACGAGCATCCATACCAGCTCAACGGAGGCGAAGCCCGCATCACTGACACGGGCGAGAATGTCCGTCACGGAGTCGGTAGGCTGCGGCACAAGGCCGTCGGGGGCGGGCTGTGTGGCATTCGACCGACCAGCGAAGAAGCCAATCTGCGGACCGCCGTTGCAGTTGGCGACACCGACCGCACCCGCGAACTGGATGCTGTTAGGTCGTTGTCAGAATCGTAGTATTTCAAGGTCAATCAGAAAGAGACGCAGACGTACAAGTCACCGAAGGTCACGTTGTGCTTAAGTGCGAAAGGGCGCTGAGCTTCCACGATTTCATCCAGGCCGTTGTTTGCGGCGTACTGCAGCTCATCGGGGAAGGCCATGATGGAACCATCTGAAACAAACATGATCAGTGAACATTCGGAGGCATCGCGCTTGCAAACGCACCGGCACCTCCACCTCTGCGAGCAAACCGTCAATCATTGTGGTCGTGATCACATGGAAGGAGATGAACGTACCCAAACTGGCCCTGTGCGGTGAGCGCAGGAGAGAACGCGATGGCGTCGTGAAAGATGAGCTGCCAGGCGGTCCTGATCAGCAGCGGTTCGGTGTCCATTACTCCTTAAGATATCTACCCGAAGGGACTCGTGCGCATTCTCGCCACATTCACCACCGTGGAACCTGTGAGGACAGTCTGAGGGCGCAATCGCAATGTCTAACGTTCAACGAGGCTTACAGGTTCTCCTGGATATCATCGAGGACGTCGAACCAAACGCAGCACTAAAAGGGTTGATCAGTACTGCGAACGTAGTCAACAGGATGTAATGCAGTACTTACTGCGTCGTTCGCGGTCGTCTTACCACTGCTACAGGTAGCACGCTTGCTGACCGAAGGAACCGCAGCGGAGACCGACGCTGCGAGCAAAGCCAGAGGAAGGAGAGCCTTGGAGAACATGATGAATGTCGTGAGGAGTGGGCGTGTTAGAGAGATTCGGCCGGTCCTTGGTCTGCTCTGCGAGGCGTCGATGGGTGTCGGGGGTTGGTATGGTCCACTTCACCCCCGCAGGGCTTTTATGTTGTTCAATGCCTCATGCTGATGGACAAGTGACTTCTTGTGTGCAGGGCGAGCCAAGACCGCATCCAGACCACTGCCACAGAGAGCGCTGCATACCTCACCGCTGGGCGTATGGCCGCATCTATTGCCGCGGTCCCGCGCTAGGCGGCAAGGAAACAGAGCCGCCGCCAGCGATGAGGCCGTACCAAGGAGTTGACATCTTGCGTGACACAAGCGGTGTTGACCGCCGACCCAGGAGGAGGGATACGCCCAATCACCGGGCACTGATTCAAACATCTGTTGTCCCGTCTTTGTGGGTTGTGTGCCAGCAAGCGTCGGCGGGCTGTGCAAAGCGGTAAGTACCGGCAGTAGATGACAGGCGTGGTAGGATATACTAGGAACCCGAAGCTGGTCGCCGCGGAGGTGTGCGATTGACAGATGCGTTCTCGCAAGGGTGCCGTTCCCCGCCGCATCACTGTCCCATAAAGGCCTATACTCGCCTTCGTTGCTCACATTCATCAGGAACGCGCCAAGGACGTTCGTGGGAGGCCGTACCGTAGGACGGCGAAGGGGCGCATCATCCCCTACCTCGGAGCCGATCGGTTAGCAAACAGCTGTGGGATATTCACTTTTGTGCTTTCCGCTGGAGGAGGGGTATTAATGTGGCGCCCCTGGTTACATTACGTGCCCACCCTAGGGTGAATAGCGGGGTACCGTCATGAAACATGTGGTGCGGGCGCGCAGGGTCGCAGACTGCAGATGAGCACTTCGTACAGCATCAGTAACATAACGCACGCCGCCTACGCATGCCTGTGAAAGACTCTAAGGGACAATGTGAACTGTTACGGATACGGTTGATAGGGGTGCGAGCCGGGCGGGCAGCTTAGAGCGGGCTAGCAGAGGGTGTAAGTGGTAGGGGTGCGAGCGCGGGTGTGGGTGTGGGGCAAGGGTTAAAGTTCGAGTAGCCGTGGTTCAGGCAGCATGGTTCGGGCAGCATGAACGGCTGGGGGGGCGCGCGACCTTGGCAAGTTACCACTACGTGAACATCGACAGGAACCATGCACCATGCAGGTGCGGGAAGACTCAGCCGCGAACGGCCGTTGGAGATAGAGCTGCCTGCACGCCTTGCCGACTGTTTGCACGACGAGACGCGTATCACAATGGCGGTGACAAGTGGGGGTATGTATTGTGGCGATGAGTTGTCCCAAAATGCAGCAGGCAGCTCGTGTCAGAGAGGCGGCAACAGAGACCGCAGCGCGATCGCCGTCGTGGAACGCACCCGTATGACTGATGTCAGTTGACTTCAAGAGAGCCGCCGCAGGAGAGTGACCGGCTGTAGAAAAAAGGCGCTGGACGTCTCCGAGTCCCCACGGTTGGCGGAGTCCTGTCTGAAAGTCAGCGCTACATGCAGGGATGTGAGTACCTCCGAGTAGTGAACAACCGTGCCTAAGCTTCCCTGGGGGAGATGAGTGATTGAGTACCGATAACTGACGAGTGCATGCAGATGCAGCAAACAAAACACGATGAGCCAAGCCGTTGGAGAACGGTGCGCCGTGAGAGACAGTATCCGAGGCAAAGGAGCAACAGATCAGCCCCAGTCCAAGGACACGGGTATTCATGTCTAGCGCAAGAAAAATGCAGAAAAGAGAAGAGATTTTGTGAGAACCCGGCATAGGTCTTTCAAACCATTACATTACACCTTATTAATGGGGCCTTTTATGCTCACATTACAGTAGAATTGTGTCTAGCAAATCTGTTGAGAGAGATAGCCGACGTCAGATTGCCAGTACTTATGAGGGGGAACTGGGAGTCGTGACGGAGATGAGGTGGTGGTGCGAGATCAAAGAGCCATTAGACGCCCATATCAATGTGTAGTAAAGTTATGGCTCGATCGGGCTGAAACATTGATGATGCGTGTAAGTAATACTTGACTAGTACGGCCGCCAAGCCTGCACTAGTAAGTACTTACTCCGGACCACAGTATCATCGATCACGACGCTCCGGTAGCATTGAGTGAGGAGTGAATACCAGGTAAGTAACGCACGGCTCTTCAGTGCATGACGCGGCAGCAGCCTTGAATATTGAATAGTAACTCACCCCTTTACCTTGCGTGCAAGGTCACCCGGACCCCGATATTGAAGCAGCTTTTCCTGCGCGCCGCGGCCGGTCCCTGCACTGGAGCTCCGGAGGTCCAGGCAGAGCAGGGCAGAGTGTGTCCGGCCGTATGGCTCCGAATACACGCAAGGTCTACGCCGATGCTTAGGCGACACTTCCCTAGTCATCTGCACTTAGCACTGAAGGTGCGGCCGAGTCAAGTGTCATGCTGCTTTGCCTCGACCGCTAGTACTAGTACTAGTACACATATATCTAGCTGCGACATCCCGAATACTAACAAGCAAATCCTGCGATTTTGAGTCGTTCATCAGACGATCCAAGCCCAGCCGAGTCCTACGGCGGCAATGCCAATACTTGTCCGACCGTCTCTCCTGCTAACTGAAATGAGACTCATACTATTAGTACGTACGCTAAGGTACGTCCTTCTAGTACGGCACTCAGTCGCCGAAGGTCTTTCACGGATGCCTGGGCCCACGCCGCAAGGGTACGTTCGAAAAGGTGCGATCAGTCCGTCCATGCCAGTCTACACCCCTAGCCCGCTTACTTGCAACGTTAAGGTTGTACCACGCAGGTGTTGGGCGCAACCAGCACTGTGGGCGAGACGGCGAATCACCTCCGCGGCACCGCTGACATGGCGTCTCAGTAATACCGGTGGTAAGCATATCACCGATACGGCACGGAAAACCCGAAAACGAACGCATGGTCCTTCGACATACTTTCACACTCCCCCCCTTCCCCGCTGTTGCATTATGATCCGATACCCACTCTCGAGCTTCAATCCCCGGTGTCACCTGCGAAGAAGAAACTGTTTTTGACGTGTCGCCTAGTGTAACACCACATTTGCCGACCCGAAGAGCCCGCTCATGTCACGCCGACACGACCTGGATGTTAAGCCCGATCTATGCTCGACCAATACATCCTTGAAGCGCACAGGCAGGTCGACTGGACCGCCCTCTACGTCACGGTCCGTTCTCTCTGGCAACAAACTTCACGTACGACTTTCACTAAGCTCCAGAACCGGTGCTCACCCCTCGGTTTGCGCGCGTAGTAATTTGAGCCGCTTCATCGTCATCACATTCCTTCCCGCTGAACGGTTCGGTAGAGTCTCTCTCTAAATGCACTTCTCCAGTCGTCTATCCATGTTCCATCTAGCTGAGCTCATTCCTCAAGCGGTTTGGTAACACCGCGATTATAATAAGACGACTGGCCGGACGTTACAATTGCTCTTACAACTGAGGATTGGCGGGATCTCCGGAGTCCGACGTGCAGTGGTTTAACTTTTTTGTTGCACTCGTACTAGTAGTTAACGGATGTCGCCGGCCTTGTGTTGGTTATACGTATGTTATAATCCTGTAGCAACAAGCTCTTCATTTGGTTGGCCAAGAAAAAATTGAACCCTGCCCGGATTGAACGGACGACCTTGAGGAACTCCCATGCACCGAAGGCTGGAATCTCACGCGCTACCACTGTGCCAAGGGTTCATGCAAATAAATCACACTATGCCCTGTATAATGAGCGCACATACGACAGCCACATGTGTCCTCTTATTCACGTTCGCCCTGTGCACCGCAGATAAAAAGCAAAAGGATGTATGATAGTACCGTAGGTTGGAAGCACCGGTACACGCTGATGGCCTGAGTTCCTCCTCCTTCTTCAACTACTCCGAGGTCCCCGAGATCTTCGGTGTCTGTTACGCCACCACCACAATCGAGCAAGTACGGAGATTGGCTGCAGGCGTTCTCCGATAGATATCTGTACACATGCTGTAATCTACCCTGGCGCTATACCAAAAGGCGTTATTGACGAATCGGTGTCTGAACTCTACTGATTGGTGTCAAGGTTTGTGGCCCATAACGCCATGATGATGTACGCGCGCTGCGAAAGCCTAGAGACTTGCAATCCTAGGGGATGCGTCAGCTGCAGAATGATGATACGAAGAACTGCGGTACCAATGAACACCCAAACCACACGCGTCCTGCCGGCCGACCAAAGCAGGTTAGTAATCGGGTTCGTCGACGCCCGAGTTCTGTGCCTATATAAGGTTACGGCTCTCTCAGTACGTTCAGCAGCACAACATGGACGCAAACCTGTACAAGGACGCGACGGTCTCGCGAGGCCTCACCTACCACTACTTCTACTCCCCCGCGAAGGCGGGGCAGCCGACCCTGCTGCTCCTGCACGGTTTCCCCTCCAGCTCCTTCGAGTGGCACAGACAGGTCGAGTATTTCAAGCCCAAGGGGTATGGCCTCCTCGTCCCCGACATGCTCGGCGCGGGCAAGACATCCAAGCCCGTAGACATACAGGTGCACCTTCTCAACCTGATGGCGCAGGACGTCGTAGACCTCCTCGACGCCGAGGGCCTCGACAAGGTCGTCGGGATTGGGCACGACTGGTACGCAGCCCCCCGCGCCGCTTCAGGCGAGGCATCAGTGCTAGTATGTGCTGACATGTGCTCGGGCGGCGTACTATAATAGGGGCTCCAAGACCCTCGCGCGCCTGGCGAACCTGCACGATCAGCGGTTCCACGCGTACATTTGGAATGCCGTTGCGTACTCGCCCCCAGCCCCGCAACCGCTAGACTACGACGCGTTGCTCGTGAGCCTCCAGGCGCGCACCGGGGATCCTCGGTTCGGATACTGGAAGTTCTTCAACGCCGACGACGCGCATGTCGTGTGCGAGCAGAACGTAAGTCCGCCTGCCTTGAAAGTGGACTGTGAGCGTGTACTGACTGCGGGCATTGATGTGCAGCTGGACTCGTTCCTCTCTGCCTTGTATCCCCAGGACCCCGATCTCTGGCTGGAGTGGTTCACGCCCCTCGGGAAGTTGCAGGAATGGGTCGAAACGAACCGCACGACCGGTATCCCTAAGTGGCTGACTCAGGAGGTGAGCGCGTGCCCTCGTCTCGCGCGATCTGCCGCCTGACGCTGCCGCAAGGAATACGACACGCTGCGCAAGATCCTGGCGGAGAGCGGACTGCAGTCACACATGAACTACTACAAAGTCCTCCTGAGATCGGTGAACCGTGAGGATGACGCCAGTACGAGCTTCACCTGATCCGTCATATCGCCAACGCTGACTCTGTGGCCTGCAGAGATTCCCGAGGATCTGTGGACGATCCACAAGCCGGCGCTGTTCATCGCGACAGCCCGCGATGCGGCCGCGGCGCCCGCTATCGGCTTGGCGAACATCGAGAAGTACGTGCCCCAGGCGAAGGTGGTCACGCTCGACGTGGGCCACTGGTTGCAGTTCGAGGCGACAGAGCGCGTGAACACGGAGTGGGAGAGCTTCATCGAGGGGCTTGGTCTGTGAAGCGCGTCCGTTTAGGATAGCGTTCTGCGAGAAACTTTGTTTGTGTACTCAGCGAATGATGAACCAACGGAACTTGAAGTTTGAACACCTACTAGTACCACCCCCTTCGAGACCTCTGCCACACACCGATCATGTGCACACTCCCTGGAGATCCTCCGGGTCGCCACCACATCCTGTGCACAATGTACGAAGATGGCTTCTATCCCAGGGCGCTTCCAGTACGTCAATCTGTCAGCCCGACTACCCCCCTCGGCAGGGGTTCCTCGACCACGGAAGGCTAACTGACAGTTCTGCGCGCAATCGCCCAGGACGCTTCGACCTGCAGAAGTACCCTGCACATATAAGTAGACGTCCTCACGCATGGCAGCGAAGCCCCTACCCCCCCAAACTGCTCCACTCAACGTCCCTCGCAAAGTGTGCAGCGATGGACCCCTCCCTCTTCAAAACCACCGCCGTCTCTCGCGGATTCACGTACCGCTACTTCCACGCGCCCCCCGCACCCGGCTCCGGCAAGCCGACGCTGCTCTTCATCCACGGCTTCCCGTCGAGCGCGTATGACTGGAACCAGCAGGTCGCGTACTTCCGGCCACGCGGCTTCGGGCTGCTCGTCCCGGACATGCTCGGCGCGGGCGGGACGTCCAAGCCGGAGAGCGCGGACGCGTTCCGCTTCGCGCTCATCGCGCGGGACGTCGTGGATCTGCTAGACCAGGAGGTCCTACAGACCGTCGTTGGGATCGCACACGACTGGTGAGATTCTTAGCAATTGGACGCACCTGTGAATTCGCTGCAGTGGTGACTGATTGGACATCAACCGTAGGGGCTCAGCGGTGCTATCGCGTCTTGCGAACCTGTACAGCGAGCGTTTCTCTGGATTTGCGTGGCTTGCGCTCTCCTACTTCCCGCCGCGCTGGCAACAGTCCGCGATCGGACAGAGCGTGGCAAAGACGGAGACCGGGACGCTTGGATACTGGACGTTCTTCTGCAGCGAGGACGCGCCCCTCTTAAGTGCAAAGAACGTCAGTGATAAACTGCGCTTATCGTCGCGAGTGTTGAAGCTGACGCGGGCCGCGATGTGCCCAGATCGACAGCTTCATGCAGCTCACGTTCCCGACCAATCCGGACTTCTGGCGGGATTACCTTTTGCCCCAGGGCAAAACGAGGGAATGGATGGAGGAGGATCGCAAGCCCGGCTTGCCTTCGTGGCTCTCTCAAGAGGCGAGTGATATGTTTCGCAATGCCTTTGCCGAATACTGACGGAACATGGCGCTCAGGATTACGACACCAAGCGCGAGATTCTTCTTAACGGGGGCATCCGGTCGGCTGCGAACTACTATAAAGCTATGATGAGCGGTGTGAATGATCAGGACAACGCAAGTGCGTACCGCTTCGTGTCGCACCATGCGGACAGAGCTTGACCGCCTCACGGTCACTTTCAGAAATACCAGAGGAGGCGGAGGCGATCAAGAAGCCCGCGTTGTTCTTCGCTACGACGCGCGATGCTGTGTGCACGTCGACCGAAGGCAAGGCTGTCATGGCGCAGTATGCTCCGCATGCGACGATCATCGAGCTCAACACCGGCCACTGGCCGAACTTGGAACAGGCGGAGACGGTGAATAGCGATCTTGAGCGCTGGGTGGGCACTCTAGGCCTGTGAGTTCACCTGGTTACAGAAGCTAGCTCGTGTCAAGACTGCCAATGTGCATGTCATTACTGCAACAGTGTATTAGCATAGTGTACGTGAAAATGACGTGGCCACGAATGTGAATTTTTGTAATATCGTCTACTGCTTCTTCGCCTCGCGTTCCAACTTGCGTAAGGCACGCTTGCGGATGCTCTTGTGGAGGCCGTGGGTGTACCGAACGAAGGCCATGTTCCATCCAATGACGTTCTGCCGATATAATGTGAGCGTCATCAAGAACTTAAAAGTGCGCTGAACGTACCATGACATAATCGAGCAGCGAATGGCTCCAGTAGGGAGTCACGACACCGGGGCGCTTCGTCCACAACGCACCGCAGGGGAGGCCAACCTTGGACAACACACTGCGCACAAACGCTTTCGGCGTAGGGATGAGCGCATTCGACTTGCGGATCTTGGACATGTTGGAGACCTGCGTCGGTGGTGGACCAGGGCGGATGAGTGAAAAACCTGCTTTGAGCACAGCGCGGACACTTACGACGAAGTATGTGTTCACGCATTCGACATCAATGCCCTTGCCCCGGACTTCCTCGGCAAGAGAGCCAGTAAACGAAGACAGGAACGACTTTGTGCCAGCATAGGTCGACAACATGGGCGACGCAACACTACCACCGGAGAATGAGCCCATGTTGACGATCAGACCACGTTTCCTGTGTACCTCAGTCAAATCGCGTCACCCTTGTCAGGGTTGTTAGCGTACCTCTCGACCATGCCCGGGAGAACAAGTTTGGTGAGCTTGACTACGGAGGACACGTTGATGGTGACAATATCCTCCATGTCCTGCTCCTTCGTGGCATGGAAATCCTCAGGGTAGTTATAGGACTTGCCAGCGTTGTTGACTGCCATGAAATGTGAGCAGCCGCCGTGCGTATATTGGTATACCAATGCTTGAGATACGCACTGAGGACACCAATGTCGAGACCCGAAAGCTCCGCCTCCAGATGCTTCCACTGAGCCGTATCGTGTAGCCTTGAGAGGTCCATGGTCACGGCCTTCGCCTGCACCTTTTTGTTGCCCGTCGACTTGGACTCTGAGATACAGAAGATTAGCGTATGATCTGACGAGAAAGAGAGTACTCGTACCAATTTCAGTAACAAGGGATGCCAATGCGGAAGCGTTGCGAGCAGAGACGACGACGTTGAATCCCTGCTGAGCAAGCTGGAGCGCATATTCGCGGCCAATGCCCTCCGAGGCACCCGTTACAACTATTTGGGGATCGGTTGAGTGCCAGAACGCGTCGAAGCAATCGCAAAGCCGTACCTGCCCATGCACCCTTGCCTGCGCCATATTTCTTGAGCTAGTGTTCGAACGCACTCAATGATAAGCTCGCCTCGAGAGACAATGGGATAAAAACGTACACTCTTTCCAGAGACTATGAAGGTTTGCAGCAAGACGAAGAGCGTCTTGAACGTAAACCTAGCAAAGGAGAAGGAGCCGACGGCAAGCAGGAAGAGAGCAAGCTTCGGATAGTCCGTT